GCTCTCCCGGCACAGCCGGCTGTAGCAGTGCCGGAACTCCTCCATGGCACGCTCGTACGGACGCGCCTAGCCGCGGGCCCGCGGGCACTGCCAGGCCCGCTCCCTAAGGGCCTCTCCCGTGGGGGCCTACGGCGCCGGGCGGCTCAGGGTGGAGCACGAGGGCCCCGAGGTCCTCAGCAGCCGCGCACCGAGGGATCAACCGAACTGGTTCTCCAGGAGGGAGACCCCATGACGGCGGGGGGCCGTGGTGGGCAAGGGGCCGCTCTCGCAGGGAACCGGGGAGGGGGGCATCCGCCAGGGGCGGGGATGAGGCCCCTCGCAGACGGGCTCTCCCGCGGCGGGGCAGGACCCCAGGAACCCAGCCCACGCGCTTCGGACCCTACTCTCCCGCCGCGGGTCCGCGCGGCCGCCGCAAAGCCTCAGTATCCAGGAAGAGGGAGGAGCGCCGGGAAGGGAGGGCGCAAACTGCAACTCCCAGGAGGCTTTGCGTGGGGCAGCGGGTGGGAGGGGGGGAAAGCGCGCGTTTCTCACCGCGGACCAATAGGGACGAAGGGGCGGGCTCGCGCTGCGGGCCTGCGTGGGCGGGGCCTTGGGGGCGGGGCCGCGGACGGCGCGCTCCGGGCTGATTGGCTAGAGGAGCGGGGGCGGGGCTTCGGCGGGCGGGCTCAGGGCGGACTGGCTGGTGGCTCCCGGGTTTCTGGAGGGCGCGCCGGGGCGACTGTCATGGAAGGAGCTGGCGGCGGCTTCCGGAAAGTGAGAGGGCGCCGGGGCGGCGAGGCGGTCGGGCGGGGGGCGGGGCGGGGGGCGCCGCGACCCGGCCCCACGCGGGACTCCCATTCCCGGGGTCGCGTCCTCGGCCCTCCGCGGGCGGGGTCCTGCGCCCGAGTCTCCCGAGGCCGAGCCGGCGGCCGGGCTTGCGGCGGGGGACGGCCCCCGGGACTGGCCGTCGGCGCGGCGCGAGTGGCTGCAGGCGGCTGGCTGGTGGCCGCGCTGCCCGCACGTTTTCCGGCTTCCTTTTGACCTGCGGCCTCCCGCGGGGCCCTGGGCTTCGCGTCCCGCCCGCGCGGGGCGGAAACTGGCCTCCCTGTGTCCCTTCCTGGGGGGCGGGGGGCTCCGCACGGGCCCTCCTGGACACCGCGCGCTGCGGGCCCCGGACACAAGGGTCACCCGGTTCGGACGTGGGTGCAAGTACGGTGCTCCTAGTGGGGAAACTGAGGCAGGGCTAGGTCAGACTCAAGTCGTTTCGCTCCGGAGCCTCACCGTTCGCTCTGCCGGGGTGACGCAGCCCTGCGGGCGGCCGGACCGTACAGGGCCCTGCAGGAGGCGCCGAGCGGGGCAGCAGGCCGTGAGCCAGGAAGGCCCGGGGCCTGGCTCCACCAGTGCCGGTGGGAGCCCCCGCCTTAGGGAGAGGCAGGGCTCTGCGGCTCGCCGTGTGTTTCAGGCCTCTCTGCTTTGGCCCCCGGGAGGGCGGCTTGGCCGGCAGTGGTCAGCGACTGAAAAGGCAAAGGCACTGAGGCCAGGGTGGCCTGGCAGAGCGGTGGTCGCACGAATCCCCCCGTTGCAACTGCTGGAGAGGGCAGCACCAGCAGACCTGGAGAGCCCTGAGTCCCCACCCCAAGGGCTCTGGCCAGAGCTGGGGTGATGATCATTACCCTTGAGGAGAGCTGTCCCAGGTGAGGGCGGAGGGTCAGAGGGGAGCCCAAGGACCTGCAGGCAGCGGGGAGAGGCTGACTGCATCCCAGGGCCGGTCCTGCCCTCCGCAGCCTGGACTCACTGGCCTGTTTCAGGAACCGCCAAACACAGCTGGTGCTGGGCTGCCGCGGCCCTGAGGGGTACACTCCCCAGGGTGCAGGGGCGGGGGGGGCGCAGAGCCTCAGGGGCCTTCCCCAGCACCTTCTCGGTGGGCAGCGGCAGGACCAGCAGGTGGCACCAGGCTCTCACCGTCTCTGCTGGGAGGGCGAGGCTGCCTCCGCCTGACCCCGTGGCAAGTTCTTACCCTCCTGAGCCTGGGCCCCATGGCCTCTGCTCCCTGCCCTGCCCCTCTGCTTTGCTGTCGGAGCTGCGCTGGGTGAGGCAGCTACAGCTGGCTACAGCAGGGCTACAGCTGGAGCGTGGCTAGTCCCCAGCTCACCTTCCCCACACATCACTTCTGGGCTCCTCCTGCCTCCCCACTGGGGCTGCTGGCTCCTCATTCACGGCCTCTTCTGGCTGGACCCTGCTCTCTGTAACGTCCCTTGGTCCACCCCCAAGTCCTCACCATCCTTCGATCTTCTGGAAGGTTCTTCTCCACTCCAGCCACCTGCGCAGCCACTCTGCTTGAGGGCATCATGCGTGTCTTCCACTCAGCATGTTCCAAGCGGAGCTCCTGGCTCCCAGAATCTCTTCCGGCCACAACCCCCAGCTCTGCAGAGTGGTGCTGTCCTCTAGGGGCTCCAGCCCCCCACCTCGAGGAGTCTGAGCTTGGCCCCACCCTTGTCTGCTCTGGCTCTGCCCGCCGTCTTCCTGCATTCACCCTGAGCGTCTATCACGGGAGCAGCCCAACCTCTGCTCAGCTCTGAGCTCCCCACAGTGGCCATCCCAGGCCCGCATAGGGGAGACTCCAGGGAGGGACCTCAAAGGTAGCTGACCTGTGCCTAGAGCGGGGTCTGGCACCAGCTAGGTTGTGCTGGCGGTGTGGACACACCTGCCAAAGGGCCCACTTGGGGAGAGCACCTCAGCCCCAGGGGTGGGAGTGCAAGACCACCTGGGATCCTATGAGGACTGGACCCAGAGAGCAGTGGGTGGGCACCCGGGCTGCCCCCGCTTGTTCCCCACCTGTGTCTGACTTGTGATGCTCCTGGAGGCGTCAGGGGATCCTCATTGCCCAGTCCCCTGCTCCAGGATCCAGAACTCAGTGCCCATGGGGGTCTGTGGCAGGTTGGGGAGGTGATGGGCCGCTGACCCCTCTGCCCCCCCTTGTCCCCACCCCCCAGGACCTGGTGAGCAAGCTGCTGCGCGTGCACTTCACGGACGGCAAGACCAAAGGTTCGTGACACCAGCTGGCGGGCAGGGCCACACCAGGGAGCTGCCAGGCACCCGTGACCCTGCACTGCAACTCTGGGGGGGGCCGAGGCCTTGGGGACGGCAGAGGGCCACCTGTGTGAGGCGGCGACAAGTCAGGAGTGAGGAAAGCGGGGAGGGCAGGGCGGCGGGGAGGGCAGGCCGCAGGTCCAACAACTCGCTCCCCTCCTCCTTGCAGTGGGCGGGGACGCACTGCAGCTCATGGCAGAGCTGCTGACAATCTTCGTTGTGGGTAAGCTGGGGCCCCCAGAAGACCGGTCCCGACACTGTCCCCTTGTGTTTTCTTGGCGGGGGGGGATCCCCACTCACCTCTGACCCATCCTCCCAGCAGTGCTTAAGCTCTGTGTCCGCTAGCTCTGGGCTCTGAGCTGCCAGTCCCCTCCCACCTCTCCCCTCACCGTCCTCCCACGTGGTGGCAGAAGCGGCTGTCCGCAGTGTCCGGCAGGCCCAGGCAGAAGACCTGGCTCTCGTGGACGTGGACCAGCTGGAGAAGGTGCTGCCTCAGCTGGTAGGTGCCCCAGTGTCCCATCCTGTGTCCCGCCCTCCCGGGAGCAGGGCTGGAGGCACGTGGGTTCTGAGTGCTGCTCTCCCCACAGCTTCTGGACTTCTAGGGGCCGCCACCCTCACTGCAGCCTGCTGTCTGAGCTGAGGCGAGGCCCTATGCCCCATTTCTGCGGTTTCTGGCTTCAGACAGGGAAGGAGGTGCTGATGCTGGAGAACCCCCTCTCCAGCCCCCAAGACTGAGTCAGGTCCTGGCAAATGCCCCACTCCCCCTGGTGACCTACTGCTGACCGCCTGGACACGGAGACTGGGATCGCCAAGGGGACCCAGGTGTGCGGGTGGCTTCCCCTTACACCCACAGGTGTGAGAGAAGGCTGGTGCCACGAAGCAGCAGGGGCCCGACGCCCCCCCCCCCCCGTCAAAGCTCCCGTGTGACCGTGTAGCCGTCCGATGCCCTCAGAAGCCGCCTCCCTGAGCTATCAATAAACCATCAATGCAAGGCATACTCTCGGGCACGCCTCTCTGTGGCTGTCGCCCCAAGTCAAGTTGCTTCAAAGCCTCCTGGGCTGCCTCTGTCCACGTGGCTGGAAGGGAAGACTGGCTCAGAGGCAGGCCAACCCAGACCGCGCCCGCACACACGTGGCCGCTCGCTGGGAGGACAGTGTGATGGTTCTGCCACGGGATACAAGGCCATGTGGCCGCCACTGGGCCAGGAATGTCGCCGTGGGCAGGGCCTGCAGGTGGAGACCAGTCAGGAGCTCGGTCCAGGTGGTACGGCGGCCCCTGAAAGTGCAGGGGCCTCTCCGCCCCACAGCAGCCGCCTCACTTTAGCTCGGACACCCACCCGGTGTCTGCGGCCAGGACACACAGAGGGGCAGGAAGTTCCCTGGGGAGGACAACAGCCACCCCACCCACCACGGGGATCAGCAGGGCCCCTGCAGCACCCCCAGGGGCAGCCTGACCCACACCTGAGCAGGGCATGGGCTGGAGGACAAGACTGCCCTCCCGAGCTTAGCATACTGGCTCCTTCCTGCGCCCGTTCCCATGCTGGCCCCCCCAGCTCTCCTCCCCCCACCCCTCCTCGGGGAGTCTCAGGGCTTCAGAGTGCTGGGAGCATGAGGCAGTGATCAGACCTGAACGGAGAGCTGGCAAGAACCTGCGCCCCACAGCTACTGAGAAGTGCCTCGGATCGGGGGCGCAGGGGGCACCAGCCTGCCCTCCCCAGGTGCCCCCAGGCCGGCTTGGAGCCCTTCTCCCGGCCTTCCTCGCACTCGGTAACCCCCAGCGTCAACTAGGTAAAGTTAGCGGCTCAGTGGGGACGCCTATGCCTTTGTTCCCAAGCACGAGAACTCAGCACACAGCACCATCCAGACCGGACGCAGGACCAATGGGCCCAGGGGACAGCGGGGGCCTTTCCTGGAGAAAGGACCACAGGAGGGTCTCGAGAGCAGCTCACACCTTTATTCCCGCTCAGGGTGGGGAGGGGTCCCGCGGCTGGCACACAGGGCACGTCCAGGCTGGTGGCGCTCACCTCTTGCTGGCTGCAATTCGAGCACCAGGATGACCAGTGGGTCCCCAAGAGGTGGCCCTTCCCTCCCTGCAGTGCCCCTGCTACGCTACCTGGCAGCTTCAGCCACTTGGGGACCTTCCCCAGATCCCTCCTGACTGGCTGGGCTGCTCCGGGGCTGGGTTCAGACAGGCCCACTGCCCCTGCCTCGGCCGCTGGCTCTGACTCGAGGGGCGCAGGGTCAGGGGCTGGCATCGGGGGTGGGGTTCCAGCAGCCCTGGACATGCACCTGCGGGCAAAAGGCCGGGGTACAGGATGGCTGGCGTGCTAGGGCAGGGCCTCTCTGCTCCCCACTGCGGGCGCTCACCTGGCCACCAGCATGTCAGCTGCAGATGGGGAGACCGTGTGTTCCAACAGCCGAGGCTCCAGGAAGAGGCCTGCAGGACACGGAGCCCACCCTCAGGCCACAGAGACGGCCTCCCCACCACTGCTCTGCTCCAGGAGGGGATGGGGCCCATGCAGGTGGCTGTCCTGGGAATAGGGTATCAGGCACAGGTCTCCCTCCCAGACTGGAAGGAAATCCCCTACTCTGGGGCATATGATGAGCCAGGACACTGGGCCCAGGGCTGGCCAGCCACGGTGGGCAAAGAGAAGGACCCCCACCCACCGGTTGGTTCCTCCGCTCCGAAGTGCACGAGGGCCGCAGGGAAGAGATCTGCCTGTAGGGAGAACGGGAGGCAGCTCAGGACACCAGGCGGGACCGTAGGTAAGCAGAAAGTCCACAGGGGATGGATAGGGTGGGCTGCACCCCTCTTCTGTGGTGGCCTCTAGGGCCACGTGTGAAGCTTGGGGCATTCACCGGGACCAGCGCTCCACGGAGGGTCACAGTCCCAGCCAGGTACCCCCAGCTAGAGCTGCCCGCCCCAGTGGCAGCCAGGCCAGCTGGGAGACCACAGGGGTCCCTCCGGGGGCCAGCCCCAAGCACCACAGAACAGGAAGCTTTTGGAACGTGTGCGCACTGCCTTCCGACGAGCTCCTCTCCTGCCCGCCTGGTTCCTGGGGGAACCGGACCTGGAAGCCCCCACCCTCAGCAGACACTGCAGAGGAGACGAAGGGGGACGCAGCGATGTGGGTGGGGGTGTGGAAAGGAAGACGGGGCATCGTGGATCAAAGAACAGAGCATAGGGGTCTGCAGCTGCGGCCAGATGGGCTGCCTCAGGCTCAGGGCAAGTGCCCAGACCTGCAGACAGCGGGGACCCTTGGCTGGCCCAGGCCTGGGGAGTGGGGGTACTCCTGGAGCCAAGGGGCTTTAGAGTCCTGGGCAGGCAGGTGCTGCCCTGGTCAGCTAGCTCTGAGAGTTCACTACCCAAGGCCCCAGAAGCCCGCAGAGGAGTTCCCTGACCGCACTCCGGGCTTTGACCCGGTAGGAAGAGCTGGGGCCAGGCAGCGAGCAGCCCCGTCCACAGGGAGCGCGCCGCTGCTGGAGGAAGCCCACACGCCGTGCCGTCAGGGGCCTGGGCACTGCCTCTCCTGAGTCTCCTTCCCTGGAGGTAGTGGTGCCCAGTTCCTGCTCAGGGTGGGTCAAGGATGACGTGCCCCTAGGACCCAGCAGGGGGCTAAACTCAAGGCTGCAGGCAGGGGGCCCCAGAGGCCACCACTCGTGACTGTACCTCAGGGGGCTGGGGCTGCAAACCCTAATGCCGGCCGGAAGACCCTTGTCCTCGCCCTCAGTGGAAGGGGCAGCCACCAGGTGAGCCCTTACCCTCCGTTGTCTTAGAGAAGCTTCCAAGGCCAAGCCTAGGAACATGGGACCAAAGCCAAGGGCAGGCCAGGTCAGAAACCCCCACAGCCTGTTCTGACACCAGATCAAAGCCTTGTTCAGAGGCACTGCCGGCACCAGGGCCCTGGAGGCACCAGAAGCCAGGGAGCAGGAGGGGGCACGGGGACCGAGTGCCCAGCCCTCAGCTGACCCTCCAGGTACTGCGGCCATTCTCAGTGAGTGCGAGAACGTTGCGTCTGGCAGTGGAGCCTGCGGCTATAGGGCTTCAAGCCTCGAAGGGCCCCATTGACCAGCCAGGAGTCCTCCAGGGACCCTGGGGCGCCTTCTCCTGACCCCAGCCTCCCAAGAGAACGACCCCACTCGCTTGCTGATGCCTTTGGGATTCCCACCCAATAAGGGGTGATCACACAGCGTGGGAGACCACCGTGACCGTCAGGAGGGAGACCCTACCCTCCTGTTCAGGCCGAGGTGGCCTGCACAGGTCATGGCCGTCTTCAGGACCTGCTAAGGCTGACCCTGGACCCCACGCGAGGCTGAGGGCAGGGGGGTCTGCGGGGCTCAGGACAACACCAGCACTGGAGGCAGATCGGACGGGCCCCGGGGGCTCCTGTGCCTGCCAGCGGCACCCCCACCTCCTTCCACACCCCTGTCCGCAGCCCCACCTTCCCCAGAACTCCTCCTCCCGGCCCAGTGGCCCAAAGGGGCAGCTGGGCCCCCGTCCCTCACACCTACCCCAGGCTGTCACTCTCTGGAGCTCAGGACCGGCCCCCGGCAGCCTCCCTCCCAGGCAGCCAGAGCACAGCCCTGCCAGGGACATGAAAGTGGGCGGCTTCCGCACCCACGCCTGCTCAGCCGCACAAGGGAGGAAGGCTTCCTTCCCCGAGCCCTGCCAGCTCTCTGATCGCAGGCAGGCGGGGACGCCACCCTGCACAGAGGCCCCCGCCGCTCCAGGCGGGGCTGACAGATGAAAGGAGACAGCTGCTGGTAGCTGGGGGCAGAGTGTCACCAGGAATCAGACTGCTGGGGCAGGAGGACAGGCAGCACCCCAGGGCTCCTCGTCAGGGCGGGACTGGGCACCAGTCCCCCTCCATCCCACAGCATCTCCTCAATGCAATGTTTATCAACAGGCCGGCCAGCGAGGAAGGGTGGGAGGAGGTGGGGCGGGATGGAGGAAGAGGCCCAGCGCCTCTGGGGCTCCTAGGGGCTGAGAAGGGGGAACTGGGGGGATGGGGGGCAGCGCCCTGCTCCCGCCCCCCGGACTCCTTCCCTTGGTGAGCTTCCAGCCTCTGCAGGGTCTTGCCCCAAGTCCCCCACAAAGGTGGCAGCCCCGGGCAAGAGGCAGACCCCCCTGCCCCAGCTCAGACCTCTGCAGGGCCTGCCAGCCACTTAACAAGGCCTGGCCTCTGGTACTAATTAAAATATCTGAGAAGACTTTGAAGGGAAACCATTAGGCCAGAGGGCTGGGGAGGCCCCAGGCGACCCTCCCAGGAGCAAAGGGACAGGACATTCTGCCTGATTCTGGAAGGCAGCCCCCAGGGGAGCACACAGAGGCACCTCACCGCACCTTCAGAGGCTCTGGGGGCCACAGGGAGCGTCAGGCAGAAGCAGACTCTAGTGGGGAGGGCACAGCGCATATTCCCGGCAGAGGCCTCGGGGTGCAGGGGAGAGGTGAGGCAGGGAAGCAGGCGGGGCAGCAGTCACTGCAGCCTGGGGCCAAACCAGCCTGACAACCGCCACCCCAAGGTCCTGCAGGCAGCCAGCCACCTGCAGGGGAGGCCTCTGACCCCGCCCTCGGGGGGCCCCTCTCACCCAGACTCCAGGCCAGGAAGACCCCGGCTCAGGAAGGCTGGCAGCCGGCTGGGCAGGCCCCTCCCCGCCGGGGCAGGAAGCGAGGAGGCTGGAAAGCCCCAGCTCCAGCGTCAGAGGTGCTCTGTGCCCCCGCACACCCCACCCACCCCCCTGCCCCGTCCACCCGGCTACAAGGCGTCATTATCCTCCTGGCCGAGGCTCGCCCTCCAGAGCCAGGCCAGCGGCACCTGCACCCCCAGCCCACGCAGCCCACCAGAGGGCCGGTACCTGAAAGAGGGTCAGCGTGGGGTCATCCAGGACAGTTTTTGGAGGAGTGATGACTGCAAAGAGAGAGTCGTCTGGGCCAGGAAGCCTTGCCACCCCCGGCCCTTGCCCACACTCCCCAGGGACACAGGCCTGAGGGGGAGGGGGAGGCCCCAAGCCCACGGCCTCAGCCGGGGTATTTCCAGGGGCCCCTCACCTCACAGCCCTCTGCCACCTCTCCGCTGCGGCAAAAACCCTGGCAGGGGGCTCAGGAGTTCGGTGGTCTGGGACCAAGGAACCCCGGCCCCACACAGTTCCCCCCACAGACGGGCAGCCTGACTCCTCCCTCCCCAGATGCCCTTGGAAGGAGAAGCTCCCAGAAGCCCGGGAGAAGGAGGCAAGGTTGGAAGCAAAGGGTGCAGGGATTCTGAGGTGGGGCAAAGACCAAGCTCCCTTCCCAGCTCCTCGGTACTTGGACTTGTCCTCAGATGCCAGTGGGGCTCCTACGGTTGGGACCAGCCCACCCCCACCATGTTGTTTCTAGGGGACGAGCTGCTTTGAGCCCCAGCTGGGAGGGGCCGGGGGTCACTGGCACACAGACCCCCCCGGCTGCGTGCAGGAGAACTGGGGAACTCACACAGGTAGAAAGGCAGCTCGGGGTCCCCCAGGTGGCTCCTCACAAAGGCCTGTAGATCCCCCACTGGAGGAGAGAGCGCAGGGTAAGTGGACAGCTCCACGGGAGGACACGGGCCACCCCAAGCCCACCCCAGGGCCGGCCCTCTCCCAGGACAGGACCAGCCGGGCCCCACGCCACACAGACCCCCACGACCCTAGGGCGCGGGAGGCCCAGCAGCTCGCCATCTCCGCCTCAGGTGCGCCACGACCCCGCTCCCACCCTCAAGCCAGACGGAGGGTCCGGGGCTGGAACCCCAGGCTCATCCCTTCTGCAGTCCTCTGAGACGCCCGGCCTGGCCAGGCCCCGGCCCCGCTGGAGTCTCCCTCCCTTTGTCTCCTACCCTGCCCGCGATCCAATCCTAAACTCTGCCCTGGGGGGGCCCTTGGCAGTCTTGGCCATCTTCACCGAACACCTCACTCAGGACTGGTGACGTTGCTCTGGGGACCCCTGCTGCTGGGGGTGCCGGGCCCGCCTGTCCTCTGGGTACTCCTGTGTCACCCGCACCCTGAACAGGCTGACGCAGGGGGCACCCCAGCCCCGTGCCCACCCCCTGACACGCTCTGCAAGCTCACGGCCCGTCCCACAGACGGCAACGAAGTCAGAAACACCCATGACCCCCAACGGCCCGGCACCTGCAGCCCCGTGGTCGGGAAGAGAAGCCCGGTGGAGCCGCTCACCTGTCTCGCTGGGGCGGAAGAAGCCTTGCAGGATGTAGCGGTCAGGAAACAGGACCCTCAGGACCACCTGGGCCGCGAGGATGCCACACGTCAGCAGGAACAGCCGAAGCCCAGACCGTGGCCCCCTCAGGCCCACGACGGCCAGGTCCCCCAAACCCAGCCAGAAGACGCCGGGGCTGGGGCAGGAGGACCGGCGACCTGGCCCCAGCCTCTGCAGGCCTGCTCCTGGCCCGCCTGCCCCTGCTCGCCCGACACGAGGGGCTGGTGGAGCACCACCGTGCGTATTTGTAAAGACACATCAATGCCGGTTTCCGTCGTACGACGAGGCAGAGTGGTCATAACGCACGGCCGTGCAGACCTCATGGGAAGTGTGGGGGACCCCAGCCGAGGCCGCGGGGACGGGGCCCACATTCCAGCAGGACACACGCCCAGACACTCCCCCCCTTCTCCATGCCTTAGGGTAGCGCTCCAGCTTCTCCCTCCTCTGGGCATCCCTGAAAGCCTTGGTCACCAACGGTGCTTCTTCCAGACGCTTCCTGCAGGGGGAAGGGGTGGGAGCGTGAAGGTCTGGGGTCTCCAGGGCCAACCCGAGCAGAGGTCCCACACACCCACCCGGGCTCCGTGGGCCACCCCGCCACATAGGGACGGATGAGACAGGGGGACAAGGGGCCTGTCTGGAACCCCTGACCCTCAAACGTGCTACTGAGGACGTGGGAGCAAGGAGACGACGGAAACGCCAATGGCACACCCACCGCTCACTCTTGAGCTGGGCCAAGCGTCTCCTCACGTCGTCCACAGTCACTTCAAAGAACTCGTCCGGCAGCTCTGCAGGCCAGGCCTGGAGCAGCTCCTCCAGGTCGGGGTGGCACACCACGGGGTCCCGATCCACTGGCTGGAGGGCAGAGGGCTCAGCTGACACAGGGCCCCTGGGCCTCACAGCTGCAGTAGCCACACAGACCCCTGAGCCAAGCGCGTAGCTCACTGGCCACCCACGGGCCAAGACTGGACACCCTCCTTCCATGCCTCCTGCTCAGCCCCACGGACACAGAGACCCTCACTCGCCAGCAGGGCATGGACCCCTGGACATGGCACAGCCAGGCCCAGCCGGCCAGGTCCCCTCGCTAGTGGGGGGCTCCAGGAGTGGACTGAGGGGCCAGCCTCCCCCAGCAGCTCCTGTGCTCACTCCCTGTCTCCAGGAGGGCCTCCCACTAAGAGGCCGAGGGAGCTGCCTGTTACCAGGGTCCCCCCAACAGAGACAAACTCGGGGAGCAGCACCCTGCTGGAGGCCACACTGGGGCTCCCCAGGAGGGCAGGGGAAGCCATAGCCCCCAGATTAGAGCTTTGGCAGAAACCTGCCCCACAGCTGAGCTGCCCCCAGCCGACCCTGTGACCACCCTGAGGACACAGAAAGGGACGCATCACTCCTAACTAGCAGCAACGATGATGAAGATGAGAGAAATCGTGAGGCAGGACTTGCTCAGCCCGAGGCGCCACCATGACTCCCATGACCACAGGGTGGGACACCTCTAGGCCCCAAGGCTGCCATGGGGCCGGGCCTAACCAGGGTGCGAAGTTCCAGCCCAGGAGGCCACCTTCTGCCCTCCGCCGCCTCCTCTCTGTACCAGGCTGTGGGCCCGGCAGGCTCTGGGAGCACCCATCCCCAGCCAACCCTCCCTCTAGCCATCCCCGCAGCCCGTCCTGTCCTGCAGCCCAGGCTCACCACCCTGGGGACTGACACACCTGCCGGGGTCTCCAGTGCTATCCCCCAGCCACACCCGAGGCTTTGACCTTCTACCCCAGCAGGCCTGAGGTCCCTGCGGTCCGGCCAGTGCCCGGCAGTCCCAGGCCTCAGGAGGCAGCCCTCCCTCTGTGAAGGGAGGTAGGTTCTCACCAGGAAGCCCTCTGACCCGGAGGCACAGGGCAGAGCAGCTGCAAAGGGCTGGCCTCAGCTCTGGCCACAGGGCCCTGTAGGTGGCTGGCTGAGGCCCCCGGGGGCTGCCCGCGCGCAGCCACAAGGATCCTGCGCTGCCGCGGGCAGTCTACACCAGAGCCTTTTGTAACAAGATGCCAGGCGCCAGGCTGCCCCCCACAGCCACGGCGCCTGCATTCCAGAAGGGCCAAGAGCTGGCCTGGGCGCCTGGGGCGGGCTGCTGGGGGGAGCGAGGGCAGGACGTGGATGCGCCCAGGCTGGGAGCCGGAGCCGCCGCGTTCGCTCAGGCACGAAGCCTGCAGGCTAACGCCCGGCTCGAAGGCCACCCTGTCACGGTCTCCCGCTGGGAGGACCCACCGCAGGCGCACGAGTCGCCCTGAGAACCCAGCCGTCTGGTGGCACGCGGTCCGTGGCACGGAAGGGAATCTGTGTGCTCAGACCTGGCCGGCAAAGCCAGTCCCAGGGAGCCCTGCTCACTGGTTCTCGTGGTCCTCCTGGGCACTCCAGGGCCTGACCTCGGGTGGCCAGGACCGCGGGCGGCCGACAGCACTGGTGACCCCAAGGTCCATGGCCCGCTCCCCAGGCCACTTCCAGGGACGGGACGCCAGCAACTGGCTGCATGCTGCTCAGGAGCCATGGACTCTCGGTCACAAAACAAAATGGACAAAATTCTTCTGGGTTTTAGATCTACTTTTGGTTCCTTCTCTCCTCCCACCTCTCACTCTGCTCCAGAAACCTGTCACACAGAAGCTGGGAGCCAGGCCCCATGCAGGAACCAGAGGGCTGGGAAAGAGCCATCACAGAGCCCAGGGCCAGACCTCCTGACGTCCTGGCCCCAGGCAGGCCCTGTCCCACAGGAACAGACCGAAGCCCATGGCTGGGCTGCTAGGAAGGACCACCCAACTGCTCAGTGATGGAGAGAGAGGCCAGGCAGCTTCAGACACCTCTGCCTGGCCGTCCCCGGGAGAGCATTTCCACGGTGGAGAAGAGGGGCTGGGCTGGGGGCGGGGAGGGAGCCAGGGAGGCTGGGGCCCAGCGGCGGCTAGGCTGAGCCCTGGTCCTGCTCCCGCCCGAGGCTCTGCCAGCAGACCACCCTCCTCTGCGGTCCTTCTCCCGCCGTGCCCGGTCCCAGCAGTCACTCCGCACGGCCCCTGTCCTAGGCGGGTTCGGGGAGAGGTTTGTGGATGGAGAACAAAGCTCTAGGAGACACCCTTGGGGAAAGAGAGCGCATGTGGTGGCCGCCGTGAGGGAAAGCCATGGCGGAACGGAGGATGGAGGGACAGAGAGTGAGCAGGACGTCAACAGCCTTAATGCTGCCTACAAAGCGGGTGACACTGGCCAGAGCCCAGGAGGCACATGAGAGGGGCAGGAGCACGCTCTGCAGGGGACAATGGCCCAAGGCTGGACAGACACTGGACAGACACACAGCCCATTCAGAGGTGGGGACGCAGTGACCAACCGCCAGCCTGGCCGGCCTGCGGAACATGCCCTGCTTCGCCAGGATGGGACGCAGGAGGGAAACCACAGGGGGCGGCCGTGGCCCCGCGCCAGGCTCGGTGCGGGCGAAGGTAAGGCCCGGCCCAGGGCAGAGAGCCAGCAGGGCCGGGCAGGCTGGGCACTGGGCTGACACCCTCCGGCAGTGGCCGAGTGGCCCCGGGCACCCCAGGCCCCTTCTGCTAGAAGCGGCCTCGAGGCTGCTGAGGCTCATTTTCTTGACAGTAATTTTCCGGGACGTGATGACACACAGAGAAAAAAATGTAAAAGGGACTTGGGGGTGACCTCAACCTCCGATTTTCCAACGTTCCTGTGAGGGCTCCTGTTTGCCTCCCCCAATCCCAGCCCAGACCGTCCTCTGACAATGGTCTTTGGTCAAAGGGAATGTGAAGCGTTTCCCCTTGAGGCTTGGAGACTAAATGAATCCGGACACGAGGGCCGCAGGCCAAACCTCCGGAGTTACTCACCGAGCCGGCGCCCTGCGTCCTCCGCGGGGCTGAGCCAGAGGGCGAGGCCAGGCCGCACCGGCGACTACCGGGAACGCCGGGCAGAGGAAACGGGAGGACGGGGCAGCCACGCTCCAGCCGAGGCCCCCACACGCCCGAGCGTGACCAGACCACCACCCCTGCGGGTGAGCCACGGGAGGCCCCAGAGGACTGAAACGAGTGAACGCAGCTGGGGTGTGGGTCTCCCGGTGAAGACACACGCGCGAGGTCAGCCAGCCACTGACGGGAGAACACCCAAGGGGCGGAGCAGTGCTGGGCAGCCCACAAGTCCCATCAGGGTGGGGGCCCTACCCAGGCGTCCAGGGCACCTCTCCCCGAAATCCGGCCGTGGCAGAGACGGCTGGAGGGCACCTTTCGGGCCACAACCTATCTGCCCTCGGCCTCAGTGGCATCCAGACTACCTGGGTCCCTGGGGACGGCCCAAAACAGCACATACGACAAGGACACGCTCAAACCCTGCCCCGGACCCACACACAGGGGACAGTAGGGTGTGCTCACAGGAGGGCGCTAGAAGGTGCCTCAGGACGAGAGGAAGAGGGCAGCGAGGGGACCGTTTACGTTCACTCTGACCCCCAGGTCCTGGCCAGGCTCCTCCCACCCTCACATGCTCTAAACCTGCCCACAAACCAGGCACAGGAGTGGCCAGAGACAGGGTGACACCTGCCTGCAGGCTGAGCACCGAGAAAGTCCCAGGCCCTTCTCTGAGGGGCAGACCAAGCCCGGAAGGGTGAGGGGCAGGCCGGAGACTGCCGTCAGCCGCCTGCCCTGCCCAGGGCATCAGGGCCTTTGATCAGAGACCCCCATACAGGCTGGGGGGCTGGGGAGGGAGCCCAGCCGCGCACAGGGCTGCGGGGCGGCCTCCCGGGCCGGCAGAAGGACTTCAAAGGACAGGCCAGGGGCCGCCGGGCAGCCCCCGCCTCTCCCTGCACCCCTCTCTGACGGCCAGTAAAACTACCTTCTAATAATTAACGCTTTGACATCAAAGGCAAGAGCCGTCCGGATCTGTAAACCATCCCAGTTCTCAGCCGAGGACCTGCCTATATTTTATCCTGTCTCTTCTGACTCTTTATTTAAATCCAAAACCACACACAGGCAAAACATTAATAGGAAACTCGGAAACTCCTTTTGATTACCAAAGTGTACCTTTGAAGTTCCCCCAAAAGTTCCGTTTTGTTCCCTTCTTCCCCCCCCTGGGGGGGGGCTAAAAAGGGACACAAAGCAGACACCATGTGGCTGGCCAGCCCTCCGCGTGTGGGGCTGTTAGTGACAGGAGGCACGAGGCAGGCGGGCGGGGGGCGCTCCACAACCCACCAGCTGCTGGGACGTCCAGATCAAAGGCACATGCTGCTGCGGCCGGGCAGCCCCTCCCTGGGACCTCTCCCACCCGGGGGCCGCGGGTTCAGAGCCTGGGAACGCCCGGGGATCCCAGGCCCAGAGAGGAACCACCTACGGGAGAGCGTAGCCCAGAGCCCCCCGGATGTCCACAGGGCCCTCTGCAGCTTCCCAAGGGATTCACAGAGCCGTGGCCCAGCAAGGCCAGCGACCCACCAGCCACGTGCCCTGTGTCTTCAGGGTGGGAGAAGGGCCAGCCAGCCCTGGCCCCAAGCTCCAGCCCCCAAACACAGTGGTCCCCAGGAAGAGCTAGCCCGGACAGAGTCAGACCCCAAGCACACAGGTCTGCCTTCAGCCACTGATTCCGGGCCCAGGTCCCAAAGGGCATGAGAGCGGGGACTGTGGATGAGTCCCTCACACAGCCCCACCAGTCTCCCCAGGACAGACCATCACGACACTTGGGACTGGCTCGCTTCCCCATCCCATCCACTTAGCCCACCAAGGGTGTCCAGTGAGGGAGCAGGAAAAGGCCCTCTGAAAGGACGTGGGCTCTGTCGCATGGCCGGGCCTTCCCCACCTGCCACCCCCTAAGGTCCCTGGGCCCCAGACCCTCCAGCCTCCCCAGATGTGCAACCTGGAAGCCAGAAGGACCCCAGGAGAGACAGGACGCCAGCAGGTGTGTCTCCGCACCAAGAACAGGCTGCTGCACTCATGAACGGAGCTCAGCTAAAACATTAGCTCTGACCCCCAGAGAAGCTGTTCCCAGACAGACGGCACCCAAACAGGACGGCTCCCTGGGAGGCCGGGACGGGGCGACAGGGGGCAGTCCACCCAAAACCTCAGCAGATGCGTGAACTGCAGGCAAGGAGGCCTGCTCGGCACGCCCACCGGACACAGGGACGCGGGCTCAGGAACCCAGACGGCATGGGACAAGCGAGGCCAGAGCCACCTGCGAGTCCGAAGCCAGTCAACAGGCCGGCCCAGGCACATGGGGAGCCGGCAGCGGCTCCGGGACACTGCCCGGGACAGGAGTGTTCAGCGCAACACTGATGCTCGAGGCCCTCCCCTCCCGGCGTGACCACGCTTGCGGGGACACCCCCATCACACGCCCACCTACAATGCGGCCTCTACGAGATCCAGGCTGAACAATCAGTTCCCAGAGAAGACACGTGCCCAGCGCCCTGCCGCACCCCCAGGCTAACCGAGGCCCGGAGGAAGGACCCCCAGCACCCAGCCTGCTTCTTACCGGCTCTGCCTCTGGCCGGGGCTCCTGGCCAGGCCTCGACTTCTTTGGCTTGGACGGGCCTCCAGGGCTGGAGAAGGACTTAGGCAGTTTGGCTGAAGGCGACATCAGAGGCCTGGCCGAGCCAGAGGGGCCCCCCAGTCGCTGCCCCCCACCTGAGAAAGGAACAAAGGGGGCGGGGGCGGGGGCGGGCTCCTTGGAGATCTGCTTGGCTGGAGCGTCCACACGGCCGGCCCCTGAGATGTCTGCCTCGTCCTGATGGCTCACATCCCCCCGGCTGAGCCCCGCTGAATCCAGCGGGGGCAGAGGGCTGCCAGCGGCCTGGTCAGCAGACAGCGAGGCGGTCGGGCTTCCTGGGGCTTTGCTCCGTGAAACCCCAGCAGAGCTGCATCGCTTCACGGCAAACCTGAGGGTGCAGACCCAGAGAGCGAGTGAACCGCCACACGGAGCGCCCCCCTGCCTGGGTCTCCCAACCCTGCCCGTGATCCTCTGGCCCCCCGAAGGTGCTGCCAGCCCCTGCCCCCCAAGCCAGCCGCTGCCGCACAGACCCCCGGGGAATGGGCAGCCATCAGGCCAGGGCCCCAGATCGAGGAGACAGGGCCACAGTGGGGGGGTGCATATTTTCTCTGCCACTCTTCCCTGTTTGCCACTCGATGGGACTCTGAGGCCCCCCACCTGATGATGGCGCTGCCCCCTGTGAGGCCAAGGGACTTGAGTGTCGTGGCCTGCAAGGAGGCTCTGCCAGTCACCTGTGAGGAGGGAACAGGACACACGGCTGACCCCTCGTGGACAGCATTCCCCCACCCGGCCGCCCAGGATAAGGGCACCTCCCGCTGGCTCCCTCCACCTACTCGGTCACCACTGGCCCCACAGGGGCCCCCAGCCAGCCCCTGGGGGACACCAGCTCCCAGCAGGCTTGGGTCCTGCTTCCTGAAGCCCGACCAGCCCCCGAGCGTTTGCTGGCTGGTCGGCAGCCGCCTCCCCCACCTCACCCCAGCTGTGGTCTAGGCAGGCACGGCTCAGGCCCGAGTTAGCCACATGTGGCCTCCTGGCCACCTCTGCGGACTGACCCAACCATGAGGGCCTCCATCCAGGCCGAGGTGCCTGAGGTCCAGCGCCTGTCTCCTCTGGGGGAAGATGTGTCCCCCCTGCACCCCCACAGACAGCCCTGGGACCCCTGCCCCTCATAGCTCGTGCTGGGGAACCTTGAGTGGGGATGGGCAGGGGAGCAGGTCCCATCCACACCAGGGCCCCTCGGGGACAGCGGCCACCCAGGGCCAGGGAAGGGTGCTTGGCCAGGGTCAGAACAAAAAGCCCCTGTGAGCCAGGGGACCCAGCGCCAGGAGGGTCGCCCGTCACAGGCAGGCGCGGACGGGCTACACCCGCACCGTGCTGCACTCAGTTTTGAAAAAGATCAAAACAAGGAGCAGAGCAAATATTTATTAAAATGAAACCACTTTTGTGACTCTCAGGCTCTGAGAGACGCCGGGAAAACAAACAGCGCGTCGGGGAGGTTTGGGGAGCGGCCCGGGCGGCCCGCGGTTAGCGCCAACGGAGCCGGCACTCTGCTTTTTTCCATGAAACACATCACGCTTTCAGAGCCTGTCTCCCCGGCCGCTGCTTTGAAGGCGGGTCTGAGAGAGTGAATTTTCCAGATTGGAAAGCAGGGCCGGGCTGTGTGGTGACTTGGGGGTGGGCGCTGGGGCCGGGCCGCTCACCTACCTCATCCCTCATGTACACACAGACCGGGCTGGCCTCGCTCAGCTGCTCCAGGCACTCCCTGCGGGGGGAGCACAGGAAAGCTCACAGGCCAGCCGTGGGAGCCCCCCACCCCGGAGCACCCCCAGGGCAGCCCGGCAGGACAGTGCGGCTACATCCACTCTGGCTCCCTCAAGGCCACCAGGAGGAGACAGCTAGCCGCTGGTGGGGAGCCACCTGCCCGAAGGCCCTGGGGGTGTTTCCCAGCTCCCGGCTCAGAAGAGACCGGCCACCTGCCAGACACATCTGGGCTCACGGTCCGCGGGGGGCTCGTGGTCCACTACGGGAGGTCAACTATGAGAAAGAAGCCCGGAGCTCTGGGCTTCTATCGGAAGCCATGCCCCAAGAGCGCTGCTGACCCCTGAAGGGCCGGGAGCAGCTTGGGGCTGGCCCCCATCAAGTGGACTCCAGAGGAAGTGTCCGGGTCCCTGAGGCCACAAGCACGTGAACCCAGGTCCAGGCCAGGGGCAGAGAGCACTGGTCTTCGAGCTACATGCGAGCTACACCGCGTCGGCCCGCGGCCTGCACCCAGGGGAGGAGGAGCCGGGTTGCAGGATGGCAGTGATGTCCCCCAGCATCAGACCCTCATGCCCAGGTGGCTGAGCAGCATAAGGCAGAAGGCTCCCTACAGCCGCCCAAACCCGCGTCACCAAGAAGCCGTCAAAGCAGAGACTGGCGGGCATGGGTGTCGGCGTGGCCGTGCGCACACCCCAGCCGCCGTCACGCACAGGCTGGGCGCCAGGGCAACGCGGAGGCAGATGGACCAGAAACACCACGAACGCTCCACACGCTCCACACAGATGGCAGCGGGCGTCCTCCCCTCATAAGCGGGACCCCCAGACAGAAAGGAAGAGCCCCCAGAGGGGCAGCTGGACAGACAGGCGTGCGGGTGTACATGCACGTGTGCACACACGCACACGCACACACCTGCTCCCAGACATGCCTGTGCAACACTGGACCCCAACTCCTGCGGCGTGGCCCCATGCTGACCGTGAGGTTCCCGGGTGCAGGTCACCCGAGGCCTGGCTTTGGCCCTTCAACTGCTGGTGCCAGAGCAAGAGGATGTTCCCATCTGGGTTTCCTATCATGTCGCCGCAACATCGGGCCCCGTAAACGCCAGTTCAAGACCACACCTGGAGTGCCCCATCTGGTCCCCCTCCTCCAAGCAGGGCTGGCTGGAGTGGGAGGCCGGGAGTGACGGCAGGCCACGCAGTGAGGCCCCACCAGGGCCCGGAGCTTAACACGCAGACATGCCTGGACCAGAAGACCGGCAGCTGAGCTAGAGACTAGAAGCAACAGGGCCCCTGGCTGCCCATGGACACTCTGGACGTACCCCGGCCCCGAGACCTGGGATCCAATCCCTGGCCCGACTCAGCGTGGTGTTTCTCCTCTTTCTCCTGTTTGCTTCCAGGCTCTGCGTTTGCTGCCCAGAGCAGAGAACCCCAATCCAGAGCCAGCTACTGCGACCCACGAGGGAGGGGCGGCCCTGCTCCCGCCCCAGCCCGGCCAGCCCTGCTGCCTCCCACCAACCCCCCAGGGAAGGTGGGGGCCCCTCGGCTAACAGCCCCCCATGGAGCTCACCCCATGCTCTGCTCACACCCGTGCCTGCAGTGCAGCTGCCCGCAGGCAAGGCCACCGGCGTGCACCAGAGCAAAGCAGGGGCTGGCCACGGGAAGGGCGACCTTGCAGGCACAGCGGGGCCAGGGTGCCCACCAAGACCCCAGGCCTCAGGAAAACAGAGGACCTCAAAAGGGGCCCCAGCCCACACACTCTTCTTACTGAAGACCAGACAGAGGAAAAGTGAAGGGACCTCAGCCGACGGAGATGTGCCCAGCCAACAAGGTCCTGGGGCAGAGAGGAAGGGAGGGGGTCCTGGAGCGGCTTGGGCTCAGGAAGCTGGCCGGCCACACGCTGGCCATGCTGACACCCAGCCCACCCGAGGGAGCCCTCTCTGCACTCACAGGACCTCTGGCTGGGCACACTTTCTCCAAGTCCGGCTCCGGGCACCTGATGTCCCCACAAATCACAAACGGGGGGTGGGGGGAGGAGCCCAGGGAAGGCCTGCCTGCCTCTGTGCCCTCGAGGCCCCTGGACATCAAAGCCAGCCCGTCTTTGATGTGCGGCTCCCCCAGAGGGATCGGGTTCCCTGTGTGGGGATCTGAGGGCTGGCCTGTAAACAGCCAGGGGAGGGGCAGCCGCAATGGCTTCCAGACCTTCCTGGCCAACGAGCAGAGCTCCCCCCAGAGCTTTGGCCCGGCACTCCCTGCAACAGAGACCCCAGCAAAGCCCCGAGACTCTTGGGCCAGGGGCCTCCTGAAGGCGAGCCCGGTGCCCGACTTGCTCCCATGCCCCAGGCCCAGGCAGAGCCACAGGCAACCCTCGAGGCCAGGCCTGGTGTGGGGGGCCTCCGTGGGCGCCTGCCCGCCCCTGGTCAGATGCTGCCCCAGACCCGCAGGATGACGCCAGCTCCGTCCAAGGCCAGCAAACCTGCTCCTCTGGTTGGGCCAGAGCCCAGCAGGCACGGCCAGGCAAGGCAGACATGCTGTTGCCATTGGCTTCATGGACGTTCTTCGCTCACCACGAACGTGCGGGCACCACAGGCAGAAGACGTCCGTCCACCCAGGGCCGGCTCCCGGCAGGGCACTGTGCTGGGGCACAAGCCAGGTATCCGGAGACCCTGTTTACCTCACCTCCTCGGGCCTGACCAAGCCATTCAGGTACAAACACGGTGTTGCCAACACAAACCCAGTGCCGCCGCGCTCCCCACGTCAGCACAAGGGGACAAAACCCAACCCAAACCACAGGGCTGGGTTTCAGGCACAGTGGCCACTAGAAGGCCCAACTCGGGCAAGGCCACATCCCAAGGGGCCAGGCAATGCATACCCCAACACAGAGATGAGGTCAGGGCCAGAAGGAGCCACAGGGTCCCTCCTCCAGGGTGGATGGGGCAGGGGTGGTTTCAAGAGGGAAATTTCCTTTCCTTCCCAAGGAAGGACGGAGGCAGTGGCCAAGAACTCTGACACCCTCCTCGGTGTGACCCCGGGCTGGTCCCCAAGCTCACAGCAGCCCCCCTGCAGTCCACCGTGCCCCGGGGTCACACAACACTGAGGGAACCACGCACACAGCCTGCCCTTCCCAGGACATTCAAAGCCGTTTCCTACCAGTGCGACAGACGGTGCTGAGAACACAGGCTCAGCCACGAAGCCCGGCGGGGAGCAGAGGGACCCCAGGCACCGGGCAGCAGCCCGGGAGTCGCAGGCCTGGAGCCCCTCTCCCTGGGGCTCTCCCTGCCTCAGAGAGCTGAGAAGTGAGGAGGACTGGCTAGTCCGTTCGGAGGCCGGCACTGTCTGCGGCGGCCCCCAGTCCCGTGTGGGCGCGGAGCACGTATACAGCTACAGCCCATGGGGAGACCAGTCCGAGAGTGAGACACGCCAGATTTCAAAGCCCTCCGTCCGACAAGGAATGTAAAAATACCTCATTCTCCTGTGGATCACATGTTCAAAGCCCAACGATCTGGACACACGGGGTCAAGTCCTTCAAAGTCCTAAGATTAACTGCACCTGTTCTCACTGTTCTTTTGATGTGGCTGCCCGAAAACTCGGAATTACTTCCGTGGCCCACACGTGTGGCACAGGTGGCATGTCCAGTGGCCAGTTAGCTGATCCAGATGCTAGTGGGCAGGGCAGGGCCACCGTGCAAAAGAGCTGCCCCCCTGGCCAGCAGTGGCCCCCAGAAGCCATGCTCCCTCCGCCAGCGTCCTGGCAAGCAGGGCACACCACTGCCCTTGGACGCGGACCTCCGCCAGAGAGCACCGGCGAGGAGAACCGGGCCCCCTGCTCATCCCACTCTGCGCAGACCTGGAATTCCCAGAGTCGCCAGCCTCCACCAGAGTCCACGTGTGTCGACCCCTACGAGGGTCTGTTGGGGGGCCACGCATGGGTCCACGTCCACAAGTGTCCCTACCTGGCGGGACGCCCCCGCGTGGCTCCAGTGTGCATCACCAGCTAATTGGGCATGGGGCCGGGACCCAGGGATGTCGCTGCCACCTGTCCCCCCTCACGTGAACCCGGCTATGTGGTTAGTGAACGCCAGCTCCCGAGAGGTGCGTAGAACCTCAGAGACCAGGCTCAGCACGGGGCCTCTCTGCTGGCCTCGCCTTCTGCCCCTAGAAGCTGTTCAGCGGGGACCTAGGGGCCCGGTCAGGCAGCTGGACGGTCTGCTCCTGTTCTCCGCGGGGCTGGCGGCACACGGCGGGCGCAGCCGCACATCGCAGCCATGGACTGGTGCTGGGAGCACAAAGCAGAGAGGACACAGCCTGCTCTGGACACCACGAAGGGCAGCCACGCGGCGCATGTTCATGGATGCCCGCTGCCAACTCCAACCGCCCAGCTCCTCCCGGGGTGAGCTCCCACCTCCCCAGAGCCATCCCCACCCCACTCAACTCCCTAAACCCCATCGGCAGCTTCCCCTCCCGAGAAGCCGGTCTACCGTTTCCTCCTCTGCTTCCGTCCCCCAGCTGGCCAGGCACCAGGTCCTGCGTGTTGCCACAGGAGACGCTGATTCCTTTAGGATTTCAGTTTCCAGAGGCGCCTGGGGGGCTCAGTTGGTTGAGCGTCTGCCTTCAGCTCAGGTCATGATCCTGGAGTCCTGAGATGGGGAGTCCCGCACCAGGCTCCCTACTCAGCGGGGGGCTGCTTCTCCCTCTGACCTTCCCCCTGTCATGCTCTCCCTCTCTCATTCTCTCTCTTCTCAAATAAATAAAATCTTAAACAAACAGAAATATTTCAGTTTCCAGTGCGGCTCATTTTGTTCTCCTCCTGGTGGACCCCATCTGCCCTTCAGTGGTGCGGTCTCAGCGGCATCCTCAGACCACGCACAAGGGGCAAACGTGTGACCTTTCAGGCCCGGAAATGGCTTTGTCCATCCTCATGCTCACAGGTACCTCGACGGATAGTTCTAGAACAAACGCTTTCCTACAGGTCTGGAAGACACTGATCTGCCAGCTTCCCGGCGCCGCGGCCCTCCTGCAGGTCTGCCCCATGTCTGAGCATGGAGAACGGACCCTTCCACCCCAGCTCCCGCTGCTCCACAGTGGGGGGGGGTCGGTCAGGCACAGCGGAGGATCGAGCAGCCACAGGCCCGGGTGTGTGTGCCGAAGCTCACGGGTCTGAGTGCCCGCTGTCCTGCTCGCTTGCCTGTGGGAGCTGCTGGGGGAGGGGACACGCTCATGTAATCACCAGTTCTTGAAACAGCACCTCCAGTCCAGAGAGCCCTGAGCGCTGCCTCCAGGACCAGCAGCACAACGCAGGAGGGGAGCTAAGGCCCCCTGCCTGCTCTGCCTCCTCTATCACCCATCTTCTCCTCCTGCCTCCTTGCCTAGCCATCGCCCACCCCACCCTCAATCTGGCACGCCACTGCCTGGGCTCTGAGTCGTAGCTTCATGAAGTCCTTCAGTGTTGGTCTAGTCGCCTTTTAGGAGGAGGATGAATGACACGCTCCGTTCCATGAACTCTTCCTGTTCGTTTTTGCCTCGGGGCCCTTACGCCTGCCGTCCCCTTGGCCCAGAAAGCTCCTTCCCAGATCCTGGTGCTGCTGCTCCCGAGCCCTCCCCCCTGCCCGAACCACCCAGGAAATGCTGCCCTGTCGCCTCCAGGGCACCCTCCCTTCTTCTCTGTGACATCTCCACGTGGCTCTGTGCACCTGCCTATCCGCTCCGGAGCCCATCTCGGTAAGCTCGGTGAGCTCAGTGAGGCAGCCCCACCTGTGCTGAGTGGTCCTGATGAAAGAGGGACAGACAGACACAGCCACTGAGGGCAGGCACCCGTGGCCCCGGAGCCAAGCTCTGACCAACACCTCCTCCCCCGGATGTCCCATCCTCTTCTGAAAATAAGGGTACCAGAAGCCCAGCCTCGCCCAGCCAACAGGAATTCCGCCCAGGTCAGACAACAGGCACCAGCAGCAGCACAGGGAGGCCATCACTGCCACCGATCAGCGAAGCAGGAGCGCCCGGGGAGCACGCGGAGGCTGGCGGAGGGGAGGCAGCCCTGGCTGCCGGGGCCCAGGCTCGGGGGAGCGGAAGGTAGCCACCTGGTCTCGGCCCAGCAGCCTCGGCAGCCACATCACTAGAAGGACCGGCACGTCAGAAATGGGAAGAGAAGCCCCAGTGGGACAGCTCCGGTGGGGGGGAAGGGGAGGCAGGAATCGGCTGCAGGGACCACACAGGCCACGGTCAGACCAACAGGGGCTGTCTTGTGGTGAGGCTCTGTCCCCAGGAGAGCCCTACCTGGAGGCCCCCTGTCCACAGACACGCCTCAGGGCCAGGCCTGTTCTCAGGACTGGACACACATTCACCCGCCCTATCCTCACATCGCCCGCGGGAGCCCCCTAGACGGCTGGCGGGCAGCCCCGGGTCACACACAGAGCACCACACCCTCCCACAGCCCTTGCACTGTCGCGAGTGGACGAAGACATCTGAGCCAAAATGAAAGACCAAAAAGCAAAGCACCACCACTCTGACACATTCAAAAATAACATTTACACCGTTAACTACCAGATGAAAATTGACACGCCGAATGCCACTAAGATTTTCTCTTTAAACAGGACATGGCTCCACGATAAGGAAGTTTTATACCCAAACCCCTGGTCCACTGAGGAGCCCAGAGCCCCCTGTTCCCCTCACCACTAACCAAGCCCCCCATGATGACAGAAGCATGGCTCTGCCCTTCCAGGAGGACACGGACCGCACCACAGTCATGACAGGAAGCCGAGCAAGAAAGATGAGCTGCAGGCGGCCACACCCTCTGGGGCAGCAAACGGACCGGCAGCCCCTTCACCATGAAGCCAGTCCCCTCACCAGGACCACAGAGCCCAAGAGGCTCGGCCACAGGCCACGGCAAGCCTCAGGGCTATGGCTCCGGACCAGGCCCCTGGCCCAGCAGCACCCGCAGCACAGCGGGGCAGAGCCCGGAACCGGCTCACCGGCGCTCACCTGGTCTGTGCAAAATGGCTGAGCAGCTCCCAGAGCGTCTGGCCCGAGCAGAAAGTGTCTTGCAACCGAGAGCCGTCGTCCAGCTGCAGAGCGATGCGAACCTGAGGGGCGCGGGCGCAGGACACCAGTCAGGAAGGAAAGCGGCCGTCCTGCCCCGGACCCACGTCCGCGTCTCAGGGCACAGGTAAGAGAGCCCTGTCCCTCGGGGCTGCCGGGATCGTGTGGGCGTATGGGAAGCCGCCCGGAACGCTGCAATCGTCTGTCGCCACGCTGGAAGCTGCCAGACTTGGGGCCGGCCCGTCGCGCAGCAACAGATGAGGAGCGCGCACCCCCCAAGTTCTCTCCACGGACCGGCTCCGGGCATGACAGCTACCTCTGTAAGTGGGGACGTGGGTCTACCTCTCCCGTCCCTCTGCTGCGTGACAGGCACATCAGGGCACGCGTGCTCAGAACCCGGGGGCGAGCGTGTGTCCGACACCCACCAGCACTGCCCCCAGCCCCACTATGGCCGTCTCCACCCGTGATAACCGTGGGGTCGTCCGCCTAAGTCTCCAGAACCTAAGAGTCACTGATCTGGTGGAGAGTCACAGGCCACAATCAGACTCGGGCCACAGTCTGGGTGAGACCTGGGAGGTCCAGGGTGAAGCCTGGGCCCCTGGGCCACCGTCCTCCCCAAACGAGGCTGCATGCAACATCCCACGGGACTCTGCAGGCTCCAGACAATTCCACGAGCACAATCATCAGGCCGGCAAGCGCTGCTGACAGACACAGCGCTAGCTAGCTCACCCGAGAGACAAACCCCGAACGAAGACTGAGAAGGCTCACTTCCCATCCACAGCTGACCTCGGACGGCGTGGGGCGTGGGGACACGGGCCTCACTGGCACACCGCCCTCCATTTACCCTACCACTCCTGTGACGCGGCCTCCCGCAGCCCAAACAGCCTGAAGGAAAGAGCCAGAGGCAGCACCCGCCCCCTGAGAGCCGCCTACCGTGTTCTTGGGGCCCTCGCGGCTCCGGGAGATGGGTACCATCTCCAGCTTGGCATTGTTGGGCAGGTTGGCGAATCTCCACTGGAGAGAGAGGTCAAGCACATTCCTTTGAAACCTGCAAAACAGGCCATAGCTCCCGGGCTGCCTGACACAGCCCGGTGATCCCACGGTGCTGGCACAGCCCTGCTAGGAGCAGTGCCCCCCGCTGCGGGAACAGCCGTACAGCCTGCCAGCCGGGACACAGTGGGCCCCCGTCTGCAGCGGTCTTCGAATGGAACAAGAGAGTGCCGACTGACTCAGCTTCGAGCGTACAAGAAAAGAGCAAGAGGGAGAAACCAGAAACGGGTCACCGTCTGGGGCAGACCAAGGGGCTGTCCACCCCCACCAGGTGTAAAGCAGCAACATGCCCAAGTCCAGGCTCAAGAAATAAACACACACCCAGGGGTACTAAGGGGGATGGGCGGGGGGGACAGAAAGAGCACAAGGCTCGGTGACAGCATGGCAGGGGACAGCCAGTACGGGCACAGCCCCAGGATTCTCATGGCGGCATGGGTGAGGCCCAGGAAAGCAAGCGCCCGCACGAAGGGCCCCTCTCGTCCCTGACGTGAAGACAGCCACACCATCACGACATGCGGCTAAGGCGAAAAGTTCTCAGGTGGAACTGAAACCCAAACCCGACCAAAGCAGGGTTCTGGCCCTTTTGTAGTTTCAGACCACTTGGGAATCCGATGGAAACCCCCCCTCTAGAAAAACGCCCGCACATGGAGACCCACGCGTGTAACCCCGAGGCCGTGAGGCCACCCAACCCGCCCCCAGCTTGCAGGGGATTTCCTGCTTCTGCAAGACCACGTCCTCTTGCTCTCAGAGCCCCACCAGGAACTTATACAACCAAACGCACAAAAACCCTCTGCGGAGACCCCTAGAAAAGACACATCCACATCCTAACCCCAGAACCGGGAATGGGGCCTCACTTGAAAATAAGGACTTGGCAGCTGTAACTGAGTTAAGGATCTGGAGATGAGGTCATCCTGGACTGGGGTGGGCCCTAAATCCAATGAGAAGTGTCCTTATAGGAGACAGAAGAGGAGATGACACGCAACAGAGAGGGAGAAGGCCACGTGAGGAAGAGGTAGAGGCTGAGGGCAGCCACCAGCAGGTGGGAGAGATGACGGAGGCTCCTCTCCTAGTCTTGCCAGCAGCGTGGCCCTGCCCATGCCTTGACTTTGGGCTTCTGTGAGAAAATGAACGTGTTGGCTTAAGGCCCCAGGTAGGGCGCTGGGCAGGGGTGGACAGACTTGTACCCTAGCAAACTCACTTCAGATCGTATTCGCTGGGGTTGAAGTCCTGTCGCCGGCATGTGTCCTCCAGAACCTAGGAGTCAGACCACAGGCCCCTGAGCCACTGTGTGGGGCCGGCCGCTGGGCTGGCAGGCACACAGTCCCTCTCCGTGAACTAACGGGCTGTCCACTCGACAGGCCCACACCCCTCCCTTGCAACGCCTGTTCACCGCGCCCCGGCACCGGGCCTGCCCCCCGGCACCAGGCCTGCCCCCCGACACCGGGCCTGCAGGGCAGACTCCACCACACACCTCTCGCTACGCACGGGGCCCCTCCGCCGGCTGCGCGTCACCGTCCTCCCCACGGGCCGCCGGCACAGACGGCCCCCGCCCCCGGGCCCCGCGAGCACGCGGCTCAGGCTGCCAGCGCCCCACGCTGGGGGCTGCTCCCCACCCGGCCTGCACAGCGGGGCCCGGGGCGCTTCCTGCGGCGGCGGCTGCCCCGCACAGAGGGCACGAGTGACTCAGCAGGTCAGTTTCCAGGCGCCACGGCCGCACGCCCGGGGACACCGGGCCGGGGACACGGCTCGGGGCTCCGCCGCCCACTCCGTGGGGCGGAAGGAGGTGCCGCACCCGGACTCCCGCCAGCACGACCCCAGCCCCGCAGCGACCCGCAGAGCCCCTGAACCCCAAGCCCGGCGCGGAAGGGGGCGGGCCCGTCGCGCCAGGAGGCCGCTCATTGGCCGCCGCGGGCCCCGCCCCCTCAAGCCCCGCCCCGCGCCCCCCCTCCCGGCCCCAACCGCAGGCGCGGGCCCGGCGCCGCCCGCCCGCCCGCAGCTCTCCTGGCCGCAGCCACCGCCCGCCGCCGCCGCACCTGCAACAGCACGGTGCTCGGCGTCACCTTCACCGTGTGGCGCCGCCCGTTCGGGGCCAGCACCGACACCGCGGAGCCCCCTCCGCCTGCCGGGGCCGCCATCTTCCGCTCACGTGACCCGCCGCCGCCAGGCCGGCGTCAAACCACTTTCTCGCTAACAGCCGGGACGCACAGCCACGCGGTGGCGGGGCGGGGCCTGAGGGGGCGGAGCTCGCGCGCGCTTCCGGGCCCGCCGCGGCGTCTGGGCCCCGCCCCCGAGGTCCGGGCCCCGCCCCCGAGGTCCGGGCCCCGCCCCCGAATCGGGCCCGAGCCGGGGCGCGTTCGCCGAGCTGCGGAGAGCTCTTAGCCCGCGTGGTCCGGCACCAACACCCCAACGGGCGCCTCGTGGCTGCGGGCCGCGAGCTCGCGTGGCCTGGGCTCCGGGTCCCCGCCCGGCCACCACGCCTCGCCGGCCTGCGCCTCTCTCGCCCTTCGGCCCCGGCTCCAGCGCCCGCCGATCTGACCCTCCTTCCTGCCCACTGTCCCCAAGTCCCCCGCGGTCACTCCGCCTGCAGCCCTGGGGGGTGGCGTGAAGGTCAGGGACCGGCTCGGGGTAAAGGCCGGCCAGAGGCTCCAGACCAGAGAGAGGGCATTGGGTGAAAGTCCGAGACCAGCGCTCTACAGGCTCCGTGCCGGGCTCGCATTCACCACCAGCCATACCCTGAGCCAGGATGTGTCCCCCATCCCAGCCCACCGCAGGGGGAGTCTGTGGAAGGTCGGGAGAATGGGTGCGTAGGATCCTTCCACCCCTCCTGTGTGGGTGCTGTCCCACCTTCGTGGAGGTGACCCACCCACCTCTTGCGTACCCACATGCGAACCAACACAGACCTCCGCATGCATATGTAGAGAAACTGAGGAAGCTCCAAGGACCCTCTAGCCTCAGAGTCCAGGATCCAGGCAGCAGTGCAATGCTCAGTGGGACCTGAGTGTCCCAGGGAGCCCTCTCACCATCAGTGAGCCCCTCCCCCGAGGCCACAGAGCATCAGAGGACACTGGAGATGTTACTCCGGAGGCACCTGTGAGGTCATCTGGTCAAGCCCCAAAAACAGCCACAGCCAGGTCTTCACTGGCTCAGAGACAACGGCAGCTGCCCTGTCCCTTCCTTGCTATCGCCTTGTCCACTCCTGCCTGCTCTCATGGGTCTCACTGTCTGTGTGGGGCCGGACACACTGGGGCTTAGAGCACACCCTCTTGGGGCCTTTGTGGTCGCTATGGGGTCAAGCTCTCCCACCCCACCCTTCTGCCTATCAGGCCCCCGCAGGCGTTCTGTGGGAGACAGGGCCCTACACCCCAAGTCGTCCCCAGCCCAGCCTCTTTAGCATGTCGCCGGGCCGGGGTTCCCTTGGAGCCTCCGCCCCACGAGGACAGGCCTTTCACGTTCTCTCACTTGTTTACTGCTCTTTCCGTCTGCGCGGCCCTTCACTGCACCGGTCTGAGGTCCGAGGTCCGTGGGGCAGAGCCTGGCAGGGGGCAAGTGTTAGACCGTTGCTAGTACAATGAGCACACAGCCCCCCAACCGGGCCTTCCCCTCCCGCCGCTGATCCTCACCTGACAGAGGCAGGGTGCCCCAGACTCTGTGGGATCTGCGTTGGGGCCCTGGCAGTGGGAGGTGGGAGAGTCAGGCCAGACTCCCTTCCCCTTAGTGGCCTGTTATGGCTGGACCCGGACACAGTGGGGCACCTGGGGACTCAGGCCACTGTGTCCTGGCTTGGAGCCCTGGGGCACTGGCCCCACAGCCTGACAAGCCTCCGAAGACAAGAAACACCTGGAGGTGGCCCCCCTTGGCCGGGGGTTGATTTCGCACCACAGCCGAACATTCAGGTCCCAGACGTGCCAGCTCCCCGCCACCGTGGGAAGGCCCCTCACCTGCCTTTGGTGACCGCGCACTTGGAGCCGAACACACACTGGGAGGGTTTGCTCCCCCAAGAGGGCTGCCTCTCAGCTCCTCTGTGCGACTCAGCAAGCTCGCTTTGTGCTCCGTCTCCTCCTACGCATTCCAGATGCGGCCTTGAGCTACCCTGGATCGCAGGACTCCGGCCCAGAAGAGGAGACCGTGGGGTCAAAGGTCATCTTTGGGAGGTTGGCCAGGCCACGAAGAGGGGTCCTTCCCCAGGTTTTGTTCGGCGTCTCCGCGCAGCTTCTGTTCTTCTTGCCCAAGCCGCTCTTTCGGAGAAGGGCAGGGCTGTGCATTCCTGGTCCAGCGGCTTCGTTTGTGACGCCCGCACCTGGAATGACCCAATGTCCTTCAACAGGTGTGCACTTGGACACCCTGTGGCATGGTCACCCCGCGGCGGAACATGGCTCAGCCGTCCAAAACAAGCTACAGGCGCAGCGCCCTGGGTGGCTCTCCGGGGAAGGGGACGGAGGCATAAAAAGCCATTCCCCAAGGGCTACAGGCATATCATAGGGCACATCTGTACAGCCTGATGGAAATGGCAGCATTTTAGAAATGCTGGAAGGGTTGTCAGGTGTTCGGGGCGATGGTTTGGGGGAGGGAGTGAGGCCAGTGTGGCTGTGGGAGGGTAATGCCTGGGACCCTCAGGGAACATGAAGGGGGTGCGCCATGTCCCCCTCACTGTCCAGGTGGTGACACTGTCCTTAGTTCTGTCAAATGTTACGATCGCGGAAGAGCCGGCAAAGTGAGCAAGGGGTAGGCTCCGTGTTCTTTTTTATGATTCCACGTGATTCTGTCATCATCTCAGTACAATTTTCAGTTAAAAAATGGCATCTATAGGGGCTCCCGGCTGGCTCAGTCAGAGGAGCATGTGACTCTGGATCTCAGGACCATGAGTTCGAGACCCACATTCGGTAGAGAGATTATTTAAACAAAAACTTTAAGGGGCGCCTGGGTGGCTCAGTTGGTTAAGCGTCTGTCTTTGGCTCAGGGCATGATCAGGGGGTCCTGGGATTGAGCCCCGCACCTGGCTCCCTGCCCAGCGGGGAGCCTGCTTCTCCCTCTGCCTGCTGCTCCCGCTGCTTGTGCTCTCTCTCTCTGACAAATAAACACAATCTAAAAAAAAACAGACAAACTTACAAAAGTGACATTTACAGAAAACCGAACCCTTGATACAGTAAGCCACCACTTTCCAGCACTTCTCTACACTTTCTCCTAGATGAGCACTGCTAAGGACTCGTCACATTTGCCTATTCTCCACATGGATATTTGCACATGTATTTATGTCTGAAGGTCAGCCAGCAGAATGACCCGAGTATTTACCCGAGTAACCCAGCAGCGCCTCCTGAGAACCAGGACCTTCCCCGCTGCCTGTAGCCGGTCCCAAGGTGGACTACATGACCTACATGGTCATGGGTGCGACGGTATCACCTGATACACACTTTCCTTTGGAATTGCCCTTGCCCCAGAACGGCCCTTCACAGCTGGCTGTCGCATTGCCTTTGGTCGTCACATCTGTTTTGCTCTTTTAATCCACAACAGACCCTCCATCTTCTGTTCATCTTGTTTCACTTTTCCATGACACTCGCATTCTGTGAGAAGGCAGCCCCATTTGCTGCGAACTGGATCCTCCTTCCGCGGCTAAGCATTCCGAGCAGTGAGGCAGGAGGGGGAGAGCCCGTCGGGAGATCTGGGACACCGGCTTGTCCTGTTAGTGGGGAGCAGATTCTGGACACACGGTCAAGGTGGGGTGTGCCACAGCGCCCCACGGTCAAGGTTCTTCACAGAGTGAATAAGCCATGTGTGGGGCGACTCCCGGAAACTGTAACTGCGCGTTTCCAACAGTCATTCCCCCAGTGGCTTTAGCCTCCCTTGATGGCTGGTGTCTGGTTCCTTCATTACATTTATGATCACAAAGTCCTGACTTCCTAATTTTATCAGTTCCTTTACATGTAGTAGGCATTGTTTGGTTTGAGAAATGCTTTCCCTCTTTTAAGAAAAAATTCTTAAATGTTAAGATGAATTCATAGATTCTTTTTTTTTTTTAAAGATTTTATTTATTTGACAGAGAGAGATCACAAGTGGGCAGAGAGGCAGGCAGAGGCAGAGAGAGAGGAGGAAGCAGGCTCCCCGCAGAGCAGAGAGCCCGATGCGGGACTCGATCCCAGGACCCTGAGATCATGACCTGAGCCGAAGGCAGCGGCTTAAGCACTGAGCCACCCAGGTGCCCCCCATAGATTCTTTTTGATGCTCAAACTGATCTAAATTTGAACAGCGAGACCCTCTTCAAGCCAGCTCCTATGCTCCCTTCTTTTCGGAGGGGGGATTTTTATTTTTATATCCTTTCAAACTTAGAAGAAAGTTGCAAGAACAGTACAAGGACTTCCTGGGAGTGTCTTAGACGTGCCAGTTGCAGCGTCCTGCCCTTGCTTGGTCATCTTCTCCTCGTCTCTGTTTATACTCACAGACTTTTTCTCTGAGCCATTTGAGAGTAAACTGGAGACCCTCGGCACCTTCCCCACTCAGGACTTGTGTGTTTCCTAAGAGCAAAGCCATCCTCTTCCACAACCATGAACTACTATACTCCAGCATCGACACTGTCCTCTGAGCAAGTCCGCGGGCACCTCTGTCATCGACATCTTTCCTGCAGCCTTTCGACGTGTTTCCAGCCCTCTCTGAGCACTTCTTCACTTCTGTCGCTTACGATGTTGCAGGCTCACCCAGGATGCTCCCTGTCCCAACCTTGAATGTGCCATTTCTCAAGGAAGCCCCAGCCTCCCAAAGGAGGAATGGGATGTAGAAATCAAAGCCTGGAGTGGGGTGTGCTCAGTGCTGTGGGGTGCCTCTGTCCTCTGTGACCTCACCAGGGACTGAGCTGGGATCCT